GATTTTTAACGTTCTCATTTGAAATGTTTTCTAATTTGAGGAGTTTATGTTCAACAAACCAATTGTATAAAATAGTGCAGCGTCTGCTTAGGGAGAATTTTTTAATGTTTCCTTTGAAAGACACAATATTTATTGCTCCTGAGACATTTCGTCTGGTATTATAAACTGAAGGTTCTTTATATCTTTTTGAATGGGCATGAGTTTATCGTCTAAACCTAAGAGCTGGTAGACTAGGATTTTAAAAATTTCATAAATATACAAATCAAAAACTGTATAAACATGAAATTTTTCGAATTCATCGGCGGTTGAAATTGTTCGTTTTTTGGAAAAAATAATTCTGATGAGTCGTTTTTGTGCTAAAAAGATTTTATCGAGAAAACTTTTGTATGTATATCCATATACCAAAATCCCATACTGTATAATTGACTTACAGAAAACATTGTATAGGACTATTAAACTTTTCCCGAAAAAAACTTTCGTGCCTGACAGAACATTCCCGTATATCTAGATAATTTGGTCAAAACATGATTTATATGTTCAAGAAAATTTAGTTTATCATCCAATCTTATTCCTAAATACTTAACCGACGTTTTTTCTGGAATTTTTGTGTTTTCGATAGTAAATCTAAATTTACACCCTTTGAATCTTACCATTTCAAATTTGATTGGATTCACGGTTAGTTTGTTTGACGCAAACCATTGACTTGTTTTAACACTTCTAAATTGATTTTTGTGGGTATGTTGTCTCCTATTATACTTATGGACGTATCATCAGCAAATATCACAGTATTGCAGTTATTGAGATGTTTAGGAAGATCATTCATATAGATAAGGGAAAGCAATGGTCCAAGTTTAGACCCTTGTGGTACACCACACTCAGTAGACTCGATCGTTGACTTAACGTTGTCAAATTCAACATACTGTGTTCTATCCGTTAAATAACTTTTGAATAATTGTGATACTTTACCTCTTATTCCATAATGTTTTACAGTATCAAGGCTTTTTTAAGGTCTAAGAAACATGTACTTGCACACCTTTTTGCGTCTATGGCCGTTCTCAGGTTTTCAGTTAACACAGCTACAGCTTGAGCTGTTGAGCGTTTACTCCTAAATCCATATTGCTCATCACAAATTATACTGAAAGTATCTAAGTAGTTCTGCAACCTTCGCTGCAGGACCTTCTCAAACACTTTGGACACACCAATTAGTCCACGAATATAAATTTTCAGTAAAAAAAGCGTCATTTTCAGTTTAGCATAGCTAATTATAGGGGTGCGTGGAATTTTTATAACCGGAAACACTACAAATTTTAGGCTACGAAGTTTCCGGGAACGAATTATCAAAACCTAGGATGTTCCATCCGTTCCGGAGGTAGGAGTACGGATGAAGGGCGAATCCCTGGGCTATGATTTTCAGCACCGCTTCAAAGCAGAAGATCGCCAGAAAAACCGGCTCTGTCGTTTCCTACAAAACAGAACATTTCCGACGGTTACCTACTGAGCATTGCTAAAAAAACGTTGGTCGAAGAAAAAAAACGTTTGTTTTGAACGTTTTTTTAATCTTTTTTTAAAAATAAAACGTTAAAAAACGCTGACTGAGAAAATTTTGAGATTGCATTGGAATCTGACTTTTTGTTCGCGTCTGAGATGATGGGAAACACTGGGGAGCTGGTATATTTCTTCATAAAATTATCGACCACCATGAAAGCAGCCACAACTAGCGCACTTTTGTGCGGGACGGGGTTTATTCGGGCGAGAGTTTGCCAAGATTTCCATCACAAAACATTACACTACCAAACTTAAGTTTGTTATCTCGTTGCGTAGAGCAATATGTAAAGACGTTTTAGATTCAATGTTAATTCAGAAGATCACTAGGGACGAATGAATAATAACACAATCAATCATTATACTAAAAGGCGGGTGTGCCCGTCAACATAATCAGAGAGTTACTATGCTACGTGTGACGATTGTCATTCTCTAGTACTCTCTCATACCACATTCCCCCTCCGATCACAATTTCATGCTTCATCGTCACTTGAACATGAAAACTCGTAGGGTACAATAGCGTTGTCCAGTATTGCCAAAAACTCTAAACAAGTAAAAAGTGTAACAAAAAGTAAGAGCATAAATTAATTCCATGGAACGCCCCCAAATTTGTCAACGGCTTTCCGCTCTCTTCCAGACTTCGGTAAATCCACCAAATCCGAATAATTCTTTTTACTAGCCCCTGATGTACCTTTCTCTGTCTTCTTTCCTTTCTTTGCAGGCGAAAGTTCCTTAAACACCTCCTGATGATCCTCCCCCTCTTCTTCTACTTCCTTCTGGGCAACCTCTTCGTTGTCCGACTTTCCTTCTTCCAAATCCCCAGACTCCACAACTGCCTTCTGAATTCCCTCACTAGGAATATCTCCACAGGGAGTGGCCGGGGTGGTATTTACACAAGGAGTTGTCGGGACTGTATTTACACAGGGAGTTTCATCTGGACTATCTACATCGGATCGCAAAGTAACCATTGGTGCTTTTTCAGGCGTTTTCGTCCTCTTCTTCGGCGGGGCTGCGCTTGTACTGGGACTATCCACATCCGAGCCCTGCATTTCAATCCGTGATAACTCCGATTTCGATAAAACTACCAAAATAACTGTACAATAGTGGTAATTTACCAATCTCACTTTTACGTCTATGTACAACTTTCCCATTTACTCTGTTCTTTAAAACCATTTCAAACTTGTTTGAGTAAATTGCATCGAACACTGGTACCTCAGAAAGAGAAGACATTTTGCGCTTTAACAGACCCGCTGCCAAAACGTACGCCTCTGACCCAGTCTCGTCATCTTTTGGTCCTTTTGCCATGCTTTCTTTAAACTCCCTCTACTTCTCTGCAACAATTTTGTTTTCAATTATTTCTTCCCAACTCAGATAATCATAAGAGGGTTATGTTAGGGTTACAAATTTAATATCCTAGAGGGCTGAAGTGCATCTGGAAGGGGGTAAATTTCAGTGGTGTTTTCGTAGTTCCTCTAATTGTAAATAATGCCGATAGTAACGCTTTGTCTTCATCATTTGTCTCCTGTAGGTTTGTCAAGAACAATTTCCCTAATGTTCCGATGCAGCGTTCCACCTTTCCTATAGTTTGATGTTTATTCGTAGGTGCCGTCGTAAATCTAATATTCATTTCTTCCATGAATTTTAAAAATGTTCCAGACGTAAAACAACTACCCGAATCCGTTTTACTAATTCTAGGAATTCCGTGCTCCGAAAAGTAAGTCTGGAGATTCCTAATAACTTCCGAAGTGGTGGTGTTTTTGCTAAAATATGCGGAGGGATAAGAACTAAAAGAGTCTAAGAGCAATCGAAGTGTAAATTATGACTATCGCTTTCCACCACTTTTCTGATAACATTTCGGGATTCAATTTTTTTTCTCATCGGTAGGTTTCTCTTTGACTGTCTAATACTAATTCTATTTACAGGGCTATTTACAAGTTGAATGAGGCATTGAAAATTCTTGAAGCGGATTAAATTTGTTGAAACAAGCGACTGTTTTAGAAGGTGTGGCCAAAAGGTGTGAGATTGGCGGAAAGCTTCTCGGCTTTCGCGTAGCTAATTTCTGATTGGTCCATTCTGTGGAATCAACATCCGACTTGCTTTCGCTTCTCGTAATTGCGTGCTCGCGTCTCGTTGTTGATTCGTAATTGCTACGGAACATTCCAGCTTCACTTTTGGCAACGCCTTCCATTCTAAAGCCTTTAAACGTGTCTGTTAATTTGTTGACTACCGATATCACAAATTTATCATCTAGAAAATCCGGTTCTTTCGCTTGTGAGCAAGGGTTTCTCGACAGGAAATCTGTAAAGCCCATCAACTTTCCTGGACTATATTCAATTTTAAAATCAAATGGGAATAAACGGGTTAACCATCGTGTCAATCTTTTGCAGTATACCTTATTCAAATGCTTTTTTCCAATAGCATGCACAATAGCTTGATGGTCCGTCTTTATTGTGAATTGCTTTCCTACCAAATAATGCTGAAAATGCTCGCATCCCCATACAACGCCCAATATCTCCAGTTCGTTGGTTGAATACTTCTCTTCTAACCCATTTAAAAATCTACTCGCAAAAGCAATCGGTAACTTCACCTCTTCTTTGACTTGGAATATTGTCGCACCTAGGCCTGATCTCGACGCGTCTGTTGCCAAAATGCATTCCAGTTTCGGGTTACAAAAATTATTTTCTACAAATTTACAAATGGCGGCTTTTATATTTGCAAAACACTGTTCTTCTTTCTCTCCCCACTGGAATTAATTCTTCTCCTTCAATAGATGTTTCAAAGTTACGAAATAGGATGATAATTTAGGTACGAATTTCACCATTTGATTTACGCTACCCATAAAGCTTTCAAGTGTTTTTAAATTCTTTGGTGCTGTCAATTTCGAAATAGCTTCAATTTTCGATGTTAATGGAGAGATAGACTTTTCTTTTAGTGTAAAACCCAACCATTCGACATTATTGTTTAATAGTGAACACTTCTTTGCAGATAAGCGGAAATTTGACTCCACCAATTCTTCTATTGTCTTTCTTACCAATTTCATGTGTTCTTCGACTGAACTCTTCGATACTACAAGAACATGGTCCAAAAAAGCGAACGCATTTCTATTATTTGCCAAACACGCGTCTATTAACTGCTGAAAAATCAAAGGGGTGTCACACAAACCATAAAAACCTCTATCAATCTTCCATGTGCCTGCGTAGTTTCCACCTATCACTCCGAAATTGCAATGTTTACTTGTACTTGGATGAGGGGATAACTGTCCAAAAGCATAGTTTAAGTCTAGCCTAGAATACCATACTGGGAATGGATTATGTTGCTGTGCGATTAAAGAAATGCTTTCTATCAGCGATTCTACCCGTGGCATTTGCGCCTTCATTGAATTCAAATGTTTGTTTAATTCTCTTGCATCTAATGTGACCTTTATCGACCCTTTGTCATGTTTTTGAGCAAGACATACTGGTTGGACAAATTGGTCAGCTTTTACATTCAACGCTCGAGAAATAAATTTCCCTACCAATTAACCTTTTCATTTCTTTATCGAACGCTTCCTGTAAATTTATTGGTAAGTGTCTTGCCCTTTGTTGTGTAATTTTCGCATCTTCTTTCAGTTCTATTTTTAATTCAAAGTCTTTCACCGTAGATAGGTCATAACAAAATTTTTGGGGTATCTATCTATTAGTTCTTTTAAAAAACGGTCTGTCTTGATCTTGCTTCACAATATGTACAAAATTATGTTCATTTTTTGCTGGAAATTCTTTAAAAGCAATGAATTTACCTTCTTTTGTGTATTGAGGCCATATTCCTATACGCAATCCCAATATCCACTCCAAACCTAATAGATCAGGTGCATTCTTCTGTGATGAGACATAGGCTTTTCCTTCCGGGATTTGCATTCCTCTGTACCTCGCTTTACACTCTACGTATCCACCCATAGGTATGGGATTTCCGTTGTAATCCGTGAAGTTCTTCTTTGTCTTCTTTATTCTCTTTTTCTTTAAAATTTCTTTATATAGGTCTTGATTTAGGATAGTAAATGGAGAGCCCGTGTCCAATACAAATTCAGTCATTTTTCCATCAATTTCAATTGTGATCAACATTTTACTTCGCAAAAGATCCACTGATATTTCGTTTACTTGGTATATTGGAAAGCCTTGCGTTTGTTGTTCTTCTTGATCATCCTCTTGCTCCGATCCTTCTTCTTCTAATAGATTTGCTGTACTTGACGTGTTGGAGCGGCAACAACGACCAAAATTTCCACGTTTGCCACATACGTTGCAATTTACATTTTGCCCCCGACATTTATCCAAATGATTTTTTATCTTGTCTCTCGATGCGATTTTTTCTCCACATTTAAAACATTTCACATTGTCTTCTCTTGAGTCTCCTCCTCTCGCATTAAAACCTTTAGTTCCCATTCTTCCTCTGATTCTTGAACCTCGGTCTCCACGTCCTCTTTGTCCGGTGTAGAATATTGGTTCTTCTTTTACCTCTGGTACTGACGCCTTCAATTTTTCTTGGTCTCGACTTGTGTCTTCTTATTGGAATGCCATTCTTCTGACTGAACTTGGGCTGAGTTCCCTTTCCATCAGTTGCTTTTGTATATTCTTGTCTGATATTGTTACTATGAACCGGTCTCTGATCCATTCTGCCTCTTTTATTCCATAATTGCATTTGGAGGCCATAAGTGAGAGTCTGGCATGGTATTCTTTCAAACTTTTTTTGGTTTCTGGTATGCCATGTTAAACTCCCATCTTACAAATTTTGAACTTCTTTTCTCTATGAATATTTCCTCGCAAATTTTGATCAGTTCCATTATGTTCTTTTCGCTGATTTTGAAATGCAGATAAGCTGCTTGAAGTCGGCATCTTCCTTCTGTACCCAATCCCATGAAAAGGAGAAACTTGGTATTCTTCTGGTTGATGTCTTCTTCTTCTGTTCCGCTTGTCAATACCACACTCAACCACGGTTTAAGCTTTCTTCTTCTCATTTTCAAGTGTGATTTTATGTGAAATCCATAGAAAGGTACTAAACAGCTCTGCCCATGTTTCCCAATCTTGTATTTCTTCTTTTGAATCCTCCCAGTAGTTTCCTATGGACAGCCGCATTGCTGACTGCGCCATGTTATCTCGTTGCGTAGAGCAATATGTAAAGACGTTTTAGATTCAATGTTAATTCAGAAGATCACTAGGGACGAATGAATAATAACACAATCAATTATTATACTAGAAGGCGGGTGTACCCGTCAACATAATCAGAGAGTTACAATGCTACGTGTGACGATTGTCATTCTCTAGTACTCTCTCATACCACAAAGTTAAAATTCGCTATCTTTCCACTGATATCAACTGCGTTTTTTTGTTTTATTTAGGACGTTTTAAAAAAAACGTTTGTTCAAAACGTTTTTTTCAATCAAAAACAAAATCGTTTCAAAGGTTTTTTTAGCAATGCCACTGAGGAAAAATCACAAGCGAATTCACAAAAAAAAACATTTCAATCCAAAAACGTTGGTGAACAAAAAAATCGATGTTTTGACGTTATTTGAAACAATATGTTGAATTTTTCACCAGTTTAGTTGCAAAGGGGATTTTTTTCTTAAGACAAATTCGAGGTCCGTTTTTTATCCTATTCTAACCCGAACAATCTCTAGTTACTTCCTAGTAGGAAGTTCCTACAGTTCATATTTCATTTATACTTTTAGGTGGACTTTTCCAAGTTGGGACTCACTAGTTTAGTAGCAAGGGGGGTTTTGTCTTCTTTGCGAGAATACTTCTCTTAAGCTACATGAACGAATAGAGGGTAAAAATTTTTCAAATAAGGATTAATATTTTGATGTCGCGTGAATTAAAATTTTGTCGAACATCTCATCTTTCAAGTTTCGCACTCACTAGTTTAGTAGCAAGGGGAGTTTTGTCTTCTTTGGGTAAATGCGTCTCTAATGCTAACACTACACAATTAGCCATAATCGTCAACAGAATCAGATACTCGAAAGGCATCCAATCCGTGATCCGTTTCGCCCATTTACGGATGATGTTGTCTTCCGCGAACAGGAAGAGGGAGGAATTTCCCGAGAGACAGGATTGGTCGGTTTCACCTGGCATGTTGTGAGCTGATTGCGAGGAAGACTGGCTTTTGGCGCGACTGGAAAAAAAATTTCATTCATAAAAAAAATTATTTAAAAATGACATAAAATGTCTATAATTATTTTTGGAAAAAAACGTATTTTCATTTAATAAATATTGTATTTTATTTTTACAAAATACTATGTACTAAAAAAATCTTAGAATTAGAAAAATGGGTGATTTGTAGTTTCGCAGAGTTCACTTGGAACGTTTTTCGTCCTTTTTTTTCTGTGAAATTGCCTTTTTACTTTCATATGATACTTCTGAAAAACATGACTATGAAACAGAAATCTCAGTACTTTGAACAATTCTAGAACGAAATTTATGGGTTAAAAAAATGTGGTTGTAGCTATATATAGCTTACGATTAGCTGTGGATTAGCGCACTTATACGTGAGATTCCGTGAAATTTTTATTGAGATTTAGGGATTTGAAAGAAAATTGGCTTTCTTGACTATGACAATTTTTTTTCCTATAAAAACGCCTATAAATTTTTTAAGTCTCAAAAAACTCTGTGGATTATTTACAAAAAGTATAAGTTTTTTCATTTTTCATCACGTTAAGAACTTCTGTATTCAGATCTATAAAAAGATCTATAAAGTTCAGCATTGTTAAACACGCCTACATAATACAAATGATCATTTGTGCTCAAGCGCTTTCTAAGCATATAATCACTGAGTATCATAGTCACTTTTTTGCACAGGCAATTAGTCCTGAAAATTGGCCAGTTTGTTCACGACTCAGTGCACTGAAGTTCAAAAACGCTTGAGCGGTTTATGGTTCGTATGTTTCAAGTTCATATAAAAGTTGCAAGTTTTGGTGATCAGCTAGCTTTGTAAGATTAACAGTTCGTAATGCACCGCTAACTATAACAAATTGCGCTTTTTTTATAAAAAAAATTGTAATATTCTGTGGTGATCTGTTGTATTCGGTTTAACAAATTCGGTACCTTATAAAGGACTTTAGTCACAAAAACAGTGTGCCTGAGCACGGAAAAAATGAAATCATGCTCATAAAGAATACGACAAAAAATTGGTTAATAGTCGGCGCACCAACAAGGGGGGGGGGTATGATGTTACTGACCTGGCTATAGTCTGGAAGCGAGTGACTCCACCGGAAGCCCCGGGTGTGCCCTGTTGAGATCCGTAAGACTGCATGACAACACTGGCAAAGGAGGACGGATGGATCCTAAAAACAAACAAATAAACAGTAAAAAAAGTTCCTGAAGTATTAATTTTTTCACAGCTTTAGCTGGCAGTGGTCCTTTTAACTTTTTTTTGCATTCTTGAATTTTTTGTGACAAAAATTGAGAGCTTAGAAAGGTTTTAAAAAAATTGTTTATAAAAAATTTAAGTGAAAAAATGTTGAGAGAAAATCAAACTGTTTTTTTTCAATGGAATCAAACTTCATAAATGAGGTTGTTAACGTTTTTTTGGAAAGATGATTCAGGAAAATGGAGGAAGAATGATAGGTTATGTTGTCAACAACATGATGGAACGATTATAAACAATCCAAACAAAAACAAAATTCGTATTATCAAATGCTGGCAAGCACATATGCTTCTTTCGTCTACGTTGCTCATGAGAAGTTTTATTTGAATGTAGCCCAATACCACACATATGTGTGAACAAAACATAGCCTATATTTTCACACAAAATTATGATAAATTCACTTCACTTTAATAAAACCTTAATTTCACCTTTTCTCATACTTTTAACAGATTAACATGTAGAAAACTTTTCTTTTTTTCTGTGCATATTTAAACAACTTACGCCATTTTGTGAACAAACTATGATAGTTATTTACGTGAGCTCTACTTTGTTGTTTTTGTTTCGTTAATTTTGTAGAGTCTATTACTTCGTAGCTAACAAGCACGTACTGCCCGAGGCAAAATTCTCGTTAAAATATGTTTCCCAAACTAACCGAAAAAATCTCTGAAATTTTTTGTGATTTTTATAAAGAGTTTTGAACATGTACCTGAGAGAAAAATCAAATTTTACAGGCCTATTTGAAAAAAAAAGAGACGAGTCAAGATTTTGATCATTATTTGACGGATAAGAAGTGGAATAAAATTTTAAACAAACCAATTGGTCTTATGAGATCAAATGACCGCAAATGACTACTTTTTCGTTTCAAGTGGCATTAAATTGAGAGACGCGTTATCTACCTTTTTTCTAATTTTCAAACTGAAAGTATGGGTATCAAGGCTATAATCCTTAAAATTGCAGAATTTTTAAAATCTTTTAAATGAAGGAATCATTTTTTAGGAGACTCGTATAAATGTCTTTGATACTGTTCTTCAAAAATCACTGAAATTGATTGCAATTAATTGTATCAATCGGTGCACCGACATTTGCGCGCAAGACATTACCGCGCAAGACATTACCGCGCAAAACACAGACATTACCGCGCAGCTTAATAATGTTCAGCAGTGACCGGATTAA